CCATACTTTATTTATTTATTTATTTATTTATTTATTTATTTATTTATTTATTTATTCATTCATTCATTCATTCATTCATTCATTCATTCATTCATTCATTCATTTCCTGCCTATCTGGTCTTGCAATTTTACACTGTAGAAACGTCCTGCCTGTCTGCTGATTTTATTCCACTCTCCGGTACAGTGCTGGGCAAGCGGTGGGTATTCCAGATATTGTTGAATTTCATGGCCTTTCATCTCTTGCCATTAACTGTGCTGGCTGGGCCTGACTGGGGCTGCAGCCCAACAGCACTGAACAGGCCTCAAGTTGCCGACCACCTGCTTCAGAAGCTCTTGCTACTTTAAACCTTCCGAAGAGTGTGTTCATTTTCCAGATTTAAAATGTGCCAGCATAAATAACAGACTGTGGATAACAGATAATAATAATTTACAAGGGTTTAAGAGGAGCTTCACTAGAGTATGGAGAAGCAGGCTGAACCTTACTGTGCATGGGTCTACATTTATCTGCACGCGTGTAAGAGACAAGAAACATCCATTCAGTGTCCCAGTGCAGTCTTGTGACTATCTACCCCACAGTGAGTGTGAGAGAATTCAATGACTGTATACAGAACAGGGGTGGGTAGAGAGGAGCCTGCCAGATGTTGGATCCCAATTCCCATCAGTCCTAGTCAGCGCAGCCAAGAGTGAGACATGTTGGGAGTTGTATTCCTCTTCTCTCTCTTTCCTACCATTAGCTCCCTTCTTGTTTAATGTTTCTATCATGTAAAAATTGTTTATATATATATTTATTGTCTTATTTTATGTTATTAGCAGCCTAGAGCGGTCTTAACCGACCAGATAGGCGGGATATAAATTAAATCAATAAATAAATAAATTCCAGCAGCGTCTGGGGAGCTGCCCTTTGCTGCCCTGGTATATAGGATTGCCAACCTCACTTCTTTGGGAATGGGGAAAGGAGTCAGATGCTGATTACAGCAGATCCAGCATATCTGGAAAGCACACGATTGAGGAATCAACAGCCTTCCCCAATTGTGTGCCTTCCAGATATGTTTGCTGCAGATGATGGAAGATGCAGCCCAGCTCCTTTTGGAAGGTGCCAAGTTAGAGAAAGGTGAAGAGAATTTTAACTAGAGAAATGACCTAGTGGCATTTATGGATCCCTCCAGGTTGTGTCACTTCTCCTTGTTCACATCTATGCCCCTTAAAACTGGGCCTCCAAAGCTGCTTTGCTTTGTTGCTGAGTACATTGCCCTTAGAAACACAGATGCTTTCTTGTGATGAAAGCAGGGAGGAGACAGCAGACGGAGGCTGTAAACAGGAATCCTCTGCGGCCTTAGTTGGCACCCAGGAGACTTTGCTCACTGTTTTGTTGTTAGGGTTATGGTGTGATTTTTTTGGCAGAGATTTCAGTGGGTGGAAGTCTTTTGTAGGGGGAGCAATGGGTCAGGTGGGGGGTTTGTAGATAGCAGAGCCTAACATGATCCAGGGCTTAGTCTGGGGATCTGTTTTAAATCATCATCATCATCATCATTGTCATCATATACAGATACTTACTTTGCATTATATATGCGGATATTTTGCCTTCTGCTGCAGAGATTTTCTGGGGCGACTGTCTGACAATGCTGCTGCGTCACTTTGTGGTTTGTCCGCTCTTGCTCCTGGGTGCAAGCTACGCTTTGCCTGATCCAGAGCCTAGCACATCGCTTCTTGCTTCTCCTTTATCTCCCACCACCACCTGGTCTTCCACTCCTCAAGAGCTCCCTGAATCCACACGAGAGCCATTGCCTCTTCTGGATCCTGGGTCTGAGGGTACCTCTAGGCCCAGCATTTCCTCACCTCAGCAGAACCAAACAGAACCTTCAGCTTCTGCCCGGCAGACCCAAAGGCTCAAACAACCCCAGGAAAAGGTAGATGCTGCTGATTTCAAATTTCCAGTCGTGGACATGGAAGATGCTGGTGGACATCAAGAGTCGGGGGCTGCAGCTGGAGGAGTGGCCTTTGTCATGATGAAACCAAAAGGTGAAGACACTTCAGTTCTCTTGGAGGGAAAGCTGGGGTTTGTATTGTACTGAGGAAGATCAAGGTCATAACTAGAAATACAGGCTAGAACTAACTAACTGGTGTAATTAATCCCAAGGCTTCAAAAGTAATTTTTAGTAGTTTAAAAAGATTTGAAAGATCAAAGAACTATTAAACGTTTGCAAATCTAAATGTAAATAAGGCTATTTTAAAAAATAGGTTGGAAATCTATTTCATCTTGATCTAGTAGGCTGAAAAGTGGTGGTGGCTAGTTGTGAGCTCCTAGCTGATTACAAACAAAGTCTAATCGGAAAGCATCCTTGAATAAATAAGCTATTGGACTTGGATTGGCTGGAGGCATTGACTAGGATGAATTGGATACTCTGAATAGAAAAGGGTTGCTTTTTTGGTCTGTTAGGCAAAATGCCTGGGTCAGAGCTGACCCTACCATGAGGTGGAGTGAGTGAGACGTTTGTCTTAGGTGGCAAATGCTGGGACATGGTGGCTTATCCTTTGCCTTAAAGCCTAGCCTTATATCGTTAGGTATAAATGAAGAATGCTTTCTTGTCATCTGTTTTACTGCTGAGGTAAAATTTCAACCGCCAATTCAGTTGGTCTTTGTGTGAGATGGGGAACCACCTTGCTTTTCACCTCAGTCAGCAAAATATAGTAGGCCAGCCTTGACTCATCAGTTCCTTGGTTTCTCAAAAGAAGCAGAACATGGATTTGACTTAAAGGTTGTAGCAAGTGGAAATCAGGAACCAGAAACCACAGCACTCATTGTGTGACACCATTTCCTCCCTCATACACAGGGCAACCAGGAGAACCTCATGAGGCAGCCAGCCATGCCATGGCACTGTTTCTGGGGGGCTGTAGTTTACTTCTGTGCCTCTTTATTGGGGTCTATTGTGTCTACAGTCGGGGATCTAAGAAGGAGCCATTTTCCCATCATCGCCTATATGAAGATGGATTTGATGACCCTGGTAAGTCTGGGCCCCTTGACCATTTGGGGAGAGGAGAGTGACTTAATAAGCTGCTACCTCTTGGGAAGGGACACAAAGTTCACTTAACAGTCATTTTCTACCAACTGCCCATATGAATCAATGGGAAATCAAGCTCGTAGTAACTGTTTGCTTACTGATCAGATTTACATACTGCTTCTCAATGCAAGGTTATTGAGGCAGTTGGTAATAAAAATGTGCAGTCATTAAAAGAAAGCAAACGTACATAGAAATGAAAATGAAATCATAAAAATAAAAGCAGCAGCAAAACTGGAGGTGAAACCAATTCCTTTAGTTAAAAAAAAAGGCTGACACGGCTTTCTCTATAGCAGCATTTTGATTATAGAACTTCCTCTGAAAAGAAAGGAGTGTTTTTTACTTCTTGTTGAGTTTTGGCCAGCCAAGGACTGGCTCTATCAAGAAGGGTGGTAAGGCAATTGCCTCAGGTGGCTGGACACAGAGGACAACAAATTTACCCTCAATCCTTGCCCTCCAGGCAGGGCAACACTTCAGGATTACATAGCTTCTAAAACGATCTTTACTCTATTTTTGAAAACTTTCATTTCTGTTTTGCTTTTATATGGTGATGTTACTGCATATGGCTTTGGGCGGTCCAGGAGGCAGGAAAGAGCTCTAGAAATGCTTTTAATAATGTCTAAATAATTAAAGGTGAGGAAATTAAAAAAAAAACAACACTTCTCCAAACAAGACCTGGGGATATGGTATGAGCCTTCCCTGGGTAGGGAGAACAGAGCTTGAAAAGAAACACTGAACACTGACTTTGATTTGGGCTCTGACCAGGACCAGGGTCTTGTTGAGTTATTTCAGCACAGGCAAGATGTTTGTCGCAACCTGTCCATGGTGGTCCTTAACTGGGAGTGCTCAGTTGGTCACAGGTTGGAGCTCATAATGTTAAGACTGTGCATTTGAGGGCCTCTGGGCTCTCAAAGAGGTGGTGGCTGAGTGCTAGAGCTATGCTTTCCATGAGAAGGTCGCATCTCCATTTCACTCCTTTGGACACATCCAAAGAAGACAGGATTCTCTGGAAAAGACAATTATGCTGGAAAGGTGGAAGGCAGCAGGAAAAGAGGAAGACCAAATAGGAGATAGAGTGACTTCCTAAAAGAAGCCATCGGATTGAGTCTACAAGAGCCGAGCAGGGCTGTTGAGGACAGGATATTTTAGACATCCTGCGTTCACAGAGTGGCCATAAGTCAGAGATGACATTGATAGGACATAACAACATGCCCATTTATGAAAAAAGTTTTGGGTGGCACATGGCCAGCAACAGTTGCTACTACAAGAAGGGGCACTGCAAGTCAGATAATACGTAGCTTGATGGCTTGACTAAATGCAAAGCAACTTCACCTGCTGTAGACCAGAAGTCTGGCAATGTGCCAGAGTGGTTGATTTTTTTAAAAAAATAATTTTTAGCGGTAACGAATCGCTGGTTAACATTTGGGTTGGTTTTCTTCCCAGCCCTCTTCCTGGACAACCCAAAAGATTACGACTGGTTCTTCTATGAGACTGATGCTTATGTCTACCGGACACCCTCCCAAACACAACCGAAGCCTATCCAGACCCTGTCAGTCCCAAGTCTCAAACAACCTCCTCCTGCTCTTGAAACCTCACTGGGGAAAACTGTGACTCCTGAAGCAGCGCAGGAGACTAAGCCGAATGCCATGAAGCTGGAGTGCCTGTCCCCAGACAATCTGCACAATGAGAATAATTTCATCTGATCCCCCGTTGCTTTCCAACAGAATCCAGAAATGTTGGGCTACAGGTAATTCCCTCTCCTCCTCTCTGTCTGGAATCTTCATGCCAGAAGCCGGAAGATATTAGATCAGATCAATCAACCAATAGATAGCTGTGCGAACATCAGTAGAATGGCTGGGGTGGCTACCTTCCAACGACTACAGAGAATGTCGTCCACCACAAAAATCAGACCTACAGAAGTCCCAGTTCAGAATTTGAGGTAGTGTTGGAGAGAGGTGATTGAGGGATTCTGCCTGTGTTTGTGAAATCGGACTTTAGAGGGATCCTATGTTTGACCCAACTCCGGGAGGCAGTGGAAGACAGGAGGGCCTGGCATGCTTTGGTCCATGGGATCACGAAGAGTCGGACACGATTAAACAACAACAACATGGTCGACAAAGAAAGCAAGCTAATTTAAATAATTAGTGTGTGCCGTCAATTCAGACCTATGGCAAACCTTTTCAGGGTTTCCCATTCCCTTCTTCTGAGGACACCCTAGGACTGTACAGCTTGCCCAAAGCCACACAGGCTGGCTCTACTCACAGGAGGCACAGTGAGGAATCAAATTTGCAATCTCCGGCTCTTCAGCCACATACCTAACTCATAGAGCTATCTAGCTAAACTTTTTATGTGTCATCAAGTCAATTTATAGCAATCCTAATAGGGTTTGCACGGTAAGCGAGCTATTTAAGGAATGGTTTCATCAGCTCCATTCCCCCAGTGAGTTTCCATGGCCAAGAGGGGATTTGAACCCTGGTCTCCCGAGTCCGGGCCCACCACTGTATCCACTGCATCACACAGGGTATCAGCCGCTGATTTAGACAAGCCCACAGGCAGTTCCAGTCACAGCCTCTCTCTCAAATCTGTTTCACCCTCAGATTGATTGAGTGATATATTGATTTTCATTTGTACGCTGCCTTTCTCCCAATTAAGGGAGACCCAAGACAGCTCACAGGTTATTACAAAGCAAACTGACTAAAACCACAATTAAAAAATCCATTAAACAGAGGTCAGTTTGCCTTTGTATATACAGGTCGGATCCACCGCAGCTCATAGCATGCTACAGGTAATTGGCTCTGCCTTTTGGACCTTCCCTTTTGCACCTGCCTGAACTTGGTAACCTGCGTAAAGTAGATTCTGCTGTCCTGAAGTGTGTCTGTTTAGAGCATATTAACCACTCGGGGCCAAGGTTGGACAAGCCTGGTTTAGAGCATATTAACCACTCACCTGCCTCCAGGTATCTTCATCTGCGGAGGTGAGATGCCATCTCAAGGTGAGCCTTCTTGATCCTGATGCATCCTCTGGGAAGGGAACTTGTCATCTTCCAGATATTTGTATGCTATACCTCTTACCATCTTTGAACAGTGGCTGTGATGATTGGGGATGATGGTAGCTGGAACCCATCCGGAGGCTGACAACTCCTCATTCTTGCTTTATCTAGTCCTTTATTGTTACATGTAATGGTTGTCATGCACTAGGTCAAAATTCTTATGCTTTCCTAAGATTTTCAAATTTTGTTTACATTTTTAATTTCTTCCCCCCACAACTAATTCTAACACTACTGGCTATGCTTCATTGCCGTGTTGTTGCAGTTTTTGTGTATGTATGTCTATTGTGATTTTTTCCCCTGAGCAATGTTTATTATTTTAAATACAGACGAAAACCATATAATAGACTCCTAATTCCTTGTAAATCACAATGTTCTTTTCTTTTCACTTACTAGATGAGGCAGCAGTGCTTTCTCTACTATACAGGTGAAATAATAAGTGATGGAAATGTCATGTTTTAAGCTAGCTGGAGATGCCTGATTTGAAAGGCCAGAATTAAAAGTTATGAGAAACCTAATGAGAAGTTGCTCTTTCTAATGCAGAATACTTCCAAAAATTTAAAAGTCAGGTTCTTAAGATTTTATGCTTTTGGGTGTAATGCTTAGAGAGAAGGTTGCCTCTGGCTCTCAAGCATTACTTAGGGGAAAGAGCACCCCAATCTTAAACAATGGGACTGCCTTTGTTTCAATCAACACTTAACTGTACTTTTTAAAGTTGCCTTTGCCACAACTGGTAGACAAAGTTATCTTTTTCAAATTATCATGATTTGTAGACCATAGTCTATGTTAGAGAGAAGGTTGCCTCTGGCTCTCAAGCTAGACCATAGTCTAGGTGACAAATGCTTTCCTACATGAGATAAAATAAGTTCCAGAACAAAATCAGAAGAGCAGGCATAGGGTTTTTTTGGGTCAGCTGACCAAACATATTCTAAATAGCTTTTTCAAATTATCATGATTTGTAGACCATAGTCTATGTTGACAAATGCTTTCCTACATGAGATAAAATAAGTTCCAGAACAAAGTCAGAAGAACAGGCATAGGGTTTTTTTTTTTGGGGTCAGCTGACCAAACATATTCTATATAACAACTGTCTGCAGGATACAACAACAATACAAAATATAGTAACATCTAAGAGCAACTTTCCTGGCAAAATCCATCTTGCCATGAACTTCTAAGTTCTACACATTGGTACGTACATGCCTGACAAGGCAGCCTTGATCCACGAAAGCTCATGTATTGTACAATTATTTTTTTGTTGGTCTATAAAGATATTACTATTGTCTACTCTTGTATTTGTATTTTAATAGGTAAAAAAACTACATCTGTAGTAGGAATGTGTGTCATTCTCAGCAGGAACACCAGATGGCAACACATGGTCAAAGATACCATCCAAAATAAACTTGTTAGGTTAATCTGAGGGCTGCTTCCCGGAAAAGCCTTGAAAAGGGGTGTATGAGTTCAATTGAAAGAATGTGGAATGCGGAAACTCCTCACCTCTACCCACTAATACAATTTAGCAGCTTAAAAGTCCCTTGGCTCCTTTGTTTTTGGCAAAAGTGGAAAGCGTTCCTTCGCATAACTTCAGTTATCTCTAAAGAATCCGCCAACGAAACATGCTTCTGGCTCCCTGCCTGCTTGCATGCATACAGTACGAACAGTCCCCGCATCAGTCTGTGAGCAGGGAGACAGCTCAGCCCCAGCCGCTGTGTTGGATTACACTGACTAGTTGAATCCATACTGGTGAAGCTCTCCTTTGCGTCATTGCCTCCTGCTTGTCCCCAGACATTGATTAAATTCCTGGCTTTCTGCTTCTTAAGCCCAACAGACGGCATCTTTGCTTCCCTCCTCCTCCCCCCATCTCCTGTCAATCTGTTCTGTCTGTCTCTTCCACCTCTCCAGAAATGGATGCGCCCTCTTCTCCATACCCTGTATTGGAACCCATGTGCTTGAAGCTGTTCCTGATCAACCGTCCTGTCGGTGGGCTACCTTGCCATAGTTAGATGTGTAAATGCTAGGCCGGGTTCTCTCCAAACGCAGAGCTAGAAGCTACGGAATAGTGGTGGGAACAGAGAGGCACCACTCCCAATTAGACAAAGACACATCTACTGGAAAAGAACAAAAGGAGAGACCTTATCTCAGGATGCTCAAAACTATATACAATGTTTATTTATAAAAAGCCCAACATGTTTCATCCAATTATATATTCCCAGGTCTTCTTCAGGGGATATTAAAATAGTCAGCAGAAATGACCGTAGTGAATATATCTCGGAACATTGTATATTGCTGTCATGAGACAAATATGCAAGGTTATTCAGAGTGAAATTTAAAGGGAGAAACCAGTAAAAAAAAAAGGAGGATTAGATGCTTAGTTGTAGAGAAATACTTAAGGAGTCATCATAGGAATGGCAGAGAATGGAGCTGAGATGACAGGCAGAAAGTTTTTTCATTCAAAAAGCGGGCTTTGCCTTTGTTTTGAACATTTTCTAAATGGTTCCATTCAACTGTATGCCTTGAGGGCTGAGTTCAAAGCAAAGACATGGGAAAACAAAGTTAAATTTTAACTTTTGATGAAATCTGCAGGGAGAAGGCAGCTATGGCAATTAGTAAATGATAAATTGCACCCCTGCTTCAAAGCTGCCATATTTACACAATCAATGGGCAAAGTCTGTTGTTTCAGCTCTTGATGCTTAATTACCAAACAGGAGCAAGGTAATTTGCAACTTGTGCAGCTGCTTGCTTGGAGGATTAAAAAAAGAACGTTTGCTTATTATAAAGTAGCTTCTAATTGTGAAGCTGCCGTCCTATCTATTTCTGCCCTGATCAGTCAATTAAATATAATTTAGTTCTGAACAATCCAACTGTTCTTGGGATTCGGGAAATTCCTCAATTTTCAATTTGCTTCCAAATAGCAGAGATAAGGCAGAAGATACCTTGGGTAGAATTTACCTGTAGAATGACGCAACAGGTTTTTGACCAAAGGAAATTTTGTGCTCTCTGGAGGCTGCTCTCACCCAACCAGCATAGCCTTGCTCTGAATGCTTGTTGTGGTTTTTTCGGGCTCTTTGGTCGTGTTCTGAAGGTTGTTCTTCCTAACGTTCTGCCAATCTCTGTGACTGGCATCTTCAGAGGACAGCACAGAGCACAGAGTGCAGTCCTTTGAAGATGCTGGCCACAGAGACTGGTGAAATGTTAGGAAGAACAACCTTCAGAACACGGCCAAAGAGCCCAAAAAACCCACAACAACCATTAGATCCCACTGTGAAAGCCTTTGCGAATACTGTACTTGCTCTGAATACTCGAAGGAATTAGAAAGGGCAGAGCAGCCCAACATGTTTTGCTGCCTGTGGCAAAGGACCAAATGACATCCACTGTCCATTCTGCACACCGAAAATGAAATGGAACTGGGTTGTCATGGGACTTGTCTTTCATTACTGGCACCCCAAATAGTGGGTGTCAGGCTGGTTTAGAGAGAGAAGACAAGCTGTATACCAGAGAAGGAAATGGCCAAAGGGGCCCAGGAGTAAACAGCTGCCAGCTGCCAGTGCTGTCCCCCCCCCGAAACCTCATCATCAGCTGCCTGAAAAAAGTTGCTTCACTCTGCTTACTGTAAAACCAACCTTGAAAAAAAACAACAGTCAATTTCTTCATTATAAGGGGAGTTTTGTTAATGATATATGCCACCCATGGAAGGAATGCTGCCTCTTTCCCCAGCATTTTTCAAAAGAGGGTTGAAAAAGGCGTATTTCTTTTTGTGGGGCAGGCCAGACCTGGACATGAAGTGATTCCGTAGGAGTGCTGCATTCTAGGAGGCTAAAAAAAGTAAGTGAATTAAAAAAAATAAAAATGAAACCTACAGTTGTTTCAGTGAAGAAATGGAAATGCAAAAAGAATAATAATAGGAATAATTCTTATATAAGGTTTATACATTTCCCCCTTCATAGGGCTCAAAGACATTCTCACTATCATGCTCTGTTACAGTGTGATCCTGGAAAATCAGTCAGAATGCTTGTTTCCAGATTACAGATGGGAGAGGGAAAATAGTGAGACTTTGTTCCCCTCTTGGCAGAGCCCGAAGGCTCAAATAATCTGCGCTAATTCTGAAAGTGGCATAGTGTGTAAGAGAAAGCCGAGTGGCTGGAGAGGCGAAGAGATACTTAGTTAAACAGAATGGATTAGATTTGATAGAATTCAAGCGAGTGGAATGTGGAAAAAAAGGGAAAAGAAGATGATTCTGTTTGTTGATTCCAAAGATGGAGACAAGAAGAAAATGCATGAAAAAAGTGGCACCAACTTATTCTTTCCAAATAGCTACTCGGTTACATCAAAGGTCCCACCCAGTGCATTCCAAGATTTGTTCCAGTGGCATTCATTTTTCCTAAGTCCCAGCGCAGGAAGAACTGTAAGTAGTCAGACTAGCTAGACAAAGAGAAAGTAAGAGGGAAGGTAAATGCAGACAATAATATACAAAGGAGTTGCTTCCTGACTGGTGCATGCAGTAATTTGTGCCCAGGAAATAGTCTCTTTGTTTTGAGGTCATGTATAAATATATAAATATTTGCCTTGTAGTCCAATGATTATATCTGAGGAAGTGGACTTTTTGCACAAAAGCTCACATTAAAATAGAGTTGTTAGTTTTTAAGGTGTTACAACATTTTTGTCTTCTTTATCTTTTACCTGGTCCTGATATGCAGTCATTGTGTCGGCTTTGCCAAAAGGCAAGGAGACTGTTTCCACCTCACTTGTTTGTTCAGGTTTCTGACGTGGTGTAAAATCGGTGTGCCAGCTTATCATGAGTTTTTTTGTACTTAGTGAACTATTAGTTCCTTGTCAATGTTGTTTACATTTCCCCAAAGGGAGCACAATAATACTGATAGGCAGGTGTAGAGACTCAGGGTTATGAACCTGTCAAATGGGCTATTATGTTCTGTAAGAAGAAAGAAGTTAGCATAATAGCATAACAATTCCTCATTTTCTTCCCCCAAACAAGAACGATGGTGAATTGGTCTTTCAGGAGATAGACTGTTGACCTTACCAGGAGATGGACCATAATTATGTTGCAGAGCAGAGGTTCATCCCAAGGCATTTTGTGGCCTGAGGCAAAATACAAGCTGGTGACCCTCTCCCATTCCATGTTCAGATGTTGTCTGTGTTTGTAGATGAATTATATTCCAACACTGCTGATGGGGAAAGTAGAACGCTTGGAGAAAATTACTGCTTTGCAGAGGCCAGAATCCAGTATATTTGGATCTGTAGTCTAAAAAAGCAACTTTTTCAAACTCTGGAGAAGTATCTTGTACCACATCTGAAGGAAGCAAGCACACTGGGGATAAAAAAAAGGCCATGTTGCAGTTCCAACCTTCTGAGAATCTGAGGCGGAAGGCAATCAGAATGCTCTGCCTCATGATACGGCCGGTTGTGGCACAGCACCTGTTTTACATGGAGATGGTCCTCGGTTCAGTCCTTGTGACCACTAGGATCTTGGGTAGCCATTGATGGGAAAGATCCCTTCCTAAAACCCTAGACAGAGGCTGCCAGTGACAGCAGATGGCTGAATGGGTAAGACAGGCAAATGGTTTGACTTGATCCTTTGAGAATTTCAAGGTGTAATTGAAAACCAACACAAAGACATCTTTCCCCCATCTTTACCCCAGTAATCTGTAAAAGTATATTAAAAATATACAGTATATGATTATGTGTGTATGTGTGTGTGTGTATATATACATATATACAGACACATACACGCATAATCATATATTTTTTTGTACATGTACAGAGAGACAGCATGTAGATGCAGCTGCCATGAGAGGAGGCCTATTGGACTTTATGCAGGGATCTCTCATGCAGTACTAGAGTCAACAATTACATCAATATAATCACGACTTCCCCTCCCATCTCTCCTCCACCTGCATTGCTGAGGCTGGCAGCAACCATTTGTGTGTGCGTGTTTGTGTGTGTGTGTGTGTGTGTGGGCATGCGTGGGGAGAGAGAGCAAGGGGGAAAGGGCATCTATTCTCCTTCCTCTTTCTTCTCTTCTCCTTCCTCAGCATCACTGGCAGGCTCCTCTTCATCCTTCTCACTGTATTGCGACGCTGCATCTATTTTCTCTGGAGGAGGCTGGAATGCAAACACAGTGTGGATTATTTGTCGTTACCTAAGCACGTATGTGTTTTGTGTCTAGACTTCTGAGCCGAAATCTCTCTAAATCCTATGATCAGGACACAAGGATTCTGAAGGCTTTCCCTGGCAGAGGCTTCTATGTCTTCTTGACATCTGTGCAAGAGGGAGGAAATTAATAAATACAAGTCTGGCAACAAGAAAAGAGTGTTCCCCCCTCCATGCCAGTGCCTGTTAAGGGGCACAGGACTCTCTACCAAGAAGAGAACAAGAGCAATCCTACAGTGAACTCAACTGTACCAAATTCAAACTCAATAAAAGACAAATGGAAGGCTTCTTCTTTGAAGCATTTGTTTGCTTTTCGCTTAAAACCTGCCCACAGCCTAATACACACTTAAATTCCCCCCCCCCTTCTTCAGCACCTACATGGAGCCAAAGCAATGATTAATTTGCCAATATCTTGAAGTGGCTATCTTATTAAGCTACTTCACAATATTGGCAAGTTAAAGAGGCTTGCTTTAGCAGACTAAGTGCCCATGTTGTCAGCCTCTTCGTTTAGAGACAAAAGAAGAAAACGTGACACAATGAGTAACACAATGAAGATTTAGAAAGTTTGGTACAGTGTTGCACAAGTGAACAGAGAAAAATGAGAAAGATTTTCAACATCAGAGAAAAATGACTTCCTCATCCTCAGGAAATTGAAAAATTTTAGGATTACATATTGTGATCAAGTTAATAGGTTTATGGCAGACTGTCTGCTGTGAAGGGTGCATGGGTCTGTGACCAGTCACAAAAATATTGGGAGTTTTTCTCTTTCTCTGTGTTTGTAGGGATGTATGGTCTCTGTGTTCTGTGCTATCTTTCTCTCTCTCAATCTTCTCCACCGACTTCACTTCTGCTTCCCCAACGTCCTATGTCTCTCCCTCTCTCTGATTTCCATCACTCCTTTTCCCTCCTGCAGCCCCTTTCTTTTTTTTCCTGTTCATCCTAGAAAGAGAAGCTCAACTTTCTGGATGTGCTTCATTTGTTGTTATTTAAGACCCTCACTTCCCTCCTCACAGGGAAGAAATGGAAAAAGCACAGCTGTTCTTAAGGCAGTATATTCATACACTCCTTTAACTGATGACATCACTGAGCGAGAAAAATGAGAAAGATTTTCAACATCGGAGAAAAATGACTTCCTCATCCTCAGGAAACTGAAAAATTTTGGGATTACCTATTGCGATCAAGTTAATAGGTTTATGTCAACCACAAGACTGTCTACTGTGAAGGGTGTGTGGGTCTGTGACCAGTCACAAAAATATTGGGAGTTTTTCTCTTTCTCTGTGTTTGTAGGGATGTATGGTCTCTGTGTTCTGTGCTATCTTTCTCTCTCTCAATCTTCTCCACCGACTTCACTTCTGCTTCCCCAACGTCCTATGTCTCTCCCTCTCTCTGATTTCCATCACTCCTTTTCCCTCCTGCAGCCCCTTTCTTTTTTTTCATCCTAGAAAGAGAAGTTTAACTTTTTGGATGTGCTCCTTTTGCTGTTATCTAAGATCCTCACTTCCCTCCTCACAGGGAAGAGATGGAAATACACAAGCTCCATGAATCCATGGCCAAGAAAAAGCACAGCTCTTCTTATGTCAGTATGTTCATACACTCCTTTAACTGATGGCATCACTGAGATCTCTTTTGCTTTCTGGACCTTTCTGAGAAATGTGATTCTCCTCACCTCATCCTCTTCCTGAGTGGGCAGAACTGTGTACCCGGAGCCGATGGAGCCCTCAAGTGGGCCCTGGTGATTGCCCAGAGCCTGCATTTTCAGGGCATCTGGGTCTAGCTCTGGCTCACGCCCCTCAGCCCTGGCATCAATGACTTCCAGCTCTTTCAACGACAGGTAATGGACTATGCCAGCACCAAAGGAGTCACCCACCACGTTGATGGAAGTTCTCATGCGATCTCTGCAAGAGGGAGGGGAGTGAAAAAGGGGGCAGGAGTTAGAGTGGTAACTGCATCACTGCTCACCTTCTCCAACTTATCTGCTTATACTAGTGCTTGTTATTTCTTTTTTGCTATCTTGCCTGCTGACAGAAATCTATGGGGGTGTGTGAAACTATTATTTGACAGAGGTATTTCCTGCAGGTCGCTTTGGAAATCAACTTCATTTCTTGGGAAATCAACCAAAGGCCATTAATGAACAGCATATGGAGAACAATGAAAAACTTGGGGGGAAAACCCATCACTTTAAAAATACTTCATTAAAATAGTAAACATATTAACCAGCACATTAAAAGAACACTCATGCCTTGTCCAGGCTTTGAAGGGTATTACAAACTGAGATTTATTAGAATGGAGGTAAAAGGAAACACACATTAAAATACAGATAAACCCTGGTGCTGGCTTTCGGCCTACCCCACTCCTGCATCCCACCTCCGTCCCACCATCCCCAAGCCAGACCCCTTGATTCTTGTTCTTGGCAATACTCACAGTAGCCAATCCACAGCAATGAGGAGGCTGATGTCCTGGGTGGGGAGCCCCACAGCGGTTAGAATTAGAAGCATGGTGACTAACCCTGCACTGGGTATACTGGCTGCCCCTACACTGGCCAATGTGGCTGTCAGGCTGTGGGAACAGATGGAAAGAGAAAGAAGTGTGTTGCTTATTGGTTTGTTGATATTTATATCGGCATCCTAGAAAGGCCTGTGGGCTGTCACAGCAATCCAAAAAGTTCAAAACAAAGAAGGAAAAATGAGATTACAAAAATATATGAATGGATAAGAGTAAGCACAGAAACAGGACCAGTTCATGACATTTGTCTGGTTTTTGTTTGTTTGCTTCTGTTTATTAAAAAATATTTTCCAAGATAGGACAGAGAATCAGGGCAACATACTTCAAACGAGGTTAAAGGCCCAGTGCACTAAAATAGCTTGGTGCCAGCTGGAATTCTGCTGCCAGCACAATACAAAGCCAAGTCTCTGCTCTAAAAAGCAGCTTCATAAAGGGAAATGGAATCTGTTCAATCCCACTCTTGCCAAAAACCCACATCCAGACCCAATTCTAGCTGCTTCTGAAGAAATGGACCAACCCAGAAGAGCACGTTCTCACCTGACGGTGGCAATCTGTCCCCCATCCAAGTTTATGCTGTTCATCTGCGCAATGAAGATGGCTGCCACGGCCTCGTAAAGAGCGGTGCCATCCATGTTGATGGTGGCCCCAATGGGTAGTACGAAGCGTGTCACCCGTCTATCAATTTTAAGGTTCTCTTCAAGGCAGCGGAAAGTGACAGGCAGTGTCCCAGCACTGGTATGAAATGGACGTGGGTGGGGGCAGTGGTCGGACAAAAGAGAAAAAAAGATTTTAATAATTGGGCAGCCATTTGCAATTTCTGCAAAGCATCTAATAAGGCATGTCCTCCTTCCCCTTCATGGACCCATATCTGCACAGAAGATGTATCACATCTGGAAGCTGAGTCATGGCAGTTTTACAAGATACAAATGCTCCATTTTTTGCTTTATAGTTTAGTGTTTCCCGTCATTCACACTTCTCGCATTTCATATTTCAATTGTATGTGTTGTGCAGCACTGGAAGTTGTTTTCACTTCTGTCTACAATCAACCACTAGACATCCTTTTGGTACTAACAAGTGTTAGTTTGAGTGCCCTTCATACTGTCTGTGAAAAAGTCTCTGCCAGTGTTACTTCCCATTACTGTTGCTGCCGCTGCTGGTGAATAACTGCCATTCAGGAACTTTTCTGCCCCCGTCATCACTGGAACTATTTATTTTATTTATTTATTTTATTTATATCCCGCCTATCTGGTCGGGTTAGGACCACTCTAGGCGGCTAACAACATAAAATAGACAATAAATACAATAAATATATATAAAACAAATTTATACATAGTGAAAACATAAAAGCATTTGCACAGAAAAGGAGCAGATGATAGAAAGGAAAAAGAGGAGGACATCAGGAATTGTCTGGAGGGAATATGCTCCTTAGATGGACAAAGAACTGGGGGTGAGGGATAATCCCATTTCTGCAGTCCTCCACTGATTGTCATGGGCTGTTAACGGTCATTAACAGTGGTCTTTCTGGTGTGTGTGATCCTAATCTTTCTGGGGAAGGATGAGATGGCAGCATGATAAATTGGAGACAGATTGTTTCTAAGGCCTCCACACCTGTTGAGTGTTGGATTTTCTATATGCAAATGTATGACCTCCCTGACCCCTCCCTAGTCACACCAGAAAGACAACTCATGATGGTTAACAACTCATGACAGTGGGTGGAGAAGAAAATCAGAAGTGGGATTATCCCTCACCCGCAGTTCTTTGTCCTTAAGGAGCCTATTCAGACCAGGGGAAGTGAAACCAGCATGGAGGATATCTCAGAGGTCTCCTACCAACTCTCCTCAGACTGAAGAAGTTACCTGGGTGAGTAGCGAAATGTTCCAGCCTAATAAGAAAGAAGTCCAGTTGCCATGACTCAGCTTCCAGATAACCTCACTTGGATGGCTGAGAATCTTCTGACAGGCCTACAGGCTCAAGTTACACCATGCCTGAGTGAAATGTCTGCTGTACAACTATTCATTTATTTACTGCATTTTCTTCTCTTGTGCACCAAATTGTTCAGAGTGGTCTCCTCGCCCTATTGAATCCTCCCAGCAAGCCTGTGAGGTTATTCAGACAGAGATATGGTGAATCACACAGGTTTATCCTGTGAATCTGAAGGCAGAAGGGGGGGGTAATCACACTATCCAGTTACACCAGTTTGATTCCACTTTAACTGTCATGGTTCCAGCCAAGAAAATACTGTACTGGGATTTGGAGAGGGAGTTCAGTATTCTCTGCCAGAGAGGTCTAGCGTGCTACTTGTTGTAATAACAAATTAAATAACAATCAACTTGCTGCTTTAGGTCAGTGGTTCTTAACCTTGGGTAATCCAGGTGTTCTTGGACTGCAATTCCCAGAAGCCTTCACCACCAGCTATGCTGGTTGGGGCTTCTGGGATCTGCAGTCCAAGAACACCTGGGTTACCCAAGGTTAAGAACCACTGCTTTAGGTAACTGCATCTGATTGCAGGGTTAAAAAGGCAGAACACACTATCTGCCTTTAGTGCATAGAACAATTGAGTGATGAGGACTGTTGTGTGTGGGACTGGGTGTTGGCTTCAGCCAATTTGGTCCTTGACATGATTCTTCCTGGAAATTCTTGTTCCCCATGGAGAATAGCCACCGGTTTTGGGGAAAAAGCTGAGTCTTGTTGGGATCATGGTGGATGAAGGGTTAAACTCCTGTCCTTTTGTGACCTGCCTCAGTCCTGATCAGACCTCTTCCCTGCCCCCCATGGTTGTTATTTAAATGATAATAACACACTTTTTAAGCCAAACAACTTATTAAATATTATGATACTCCTTATGTTTTGTCTAAGCTGGGTTTCCTAATTTCCTCACAGACAGAGGCTTCAATCCTGTACATGCATATCTGAAAGAAGTCCCACTTAGCTCAATGAACTTACTTCTGAACATGTATGTAGAGGATTCTGTTCTACACTGGATTTATTCTCTCTTTTCAGAAAAAAATCCTAGAAAATCTGAGAAGTGGAACAGGAATTTTTCTCTGAACACCTTGGTCAAACCAAAATCTTAGAGGAAGGGACAGCCATGACAATTCATATAGTATCAAAAAAAAAAAAAGATACAAGTATGTGGTACAATTAACTGTTATACAAGATATTTTTCCCTTCCTTTCTGTACTGTGCTGATTTAAACCTGCATGAGTGCTGCTTTTAACCTATAAAGCCTTAAATGGCCTGGGTCCAAGTTATCTCAAAGACTGTATCTCCCATTATGAGCCGGCTTGGAAATTAAAGTCATCAGGAGAGGCCTGCCTTTCGGTCCCATCCCCTTCACAGGTGCATCTGATGCGGATAAAGGAGAGAGCTTTCTCGGTTGCTGCGTCCAGACTTTGGGACTCCCTCCCACTGGAGGCTAGACTGCCCCCCAACTTTGCTGTCCTTTCACAAGCAGGCAAAGACCTTTCTCTTCAGGCAAGCCTTCCCTCAGTAACCAGCTACCTGTATGAGATTCTTAGATGGGCTATTCTGTGTTACTATTTTGACTGGGTTTTGAGTACTACTGGTGTTTTTTATTTCTCAAAGGGTATTTGTTTGTTCCTTTTACATATTTAAATATTTGTATACTGTACTTATTGTTTTAGTGATGTAAACTGCCTCTTTATACCTATTGTTCTCAGTTTTAAATAATGTCTTTTAATGATGTAAACCATCATTGTATACTCTTTTTTTCCAGCTTTAAATATTGCCTTTCAGTGATGTTAGCTGCTTTTTGTCCTTTTTAAGGATAAAGGTGAGGTAAAATTATTTTAAATTAATAAGGAGGTGGCGCTAGTTCTTACAGAAGAGTAATGACACTTAAGACACTTTATGAGGGAACAATGTTTTTCTGGCAGCAACAATTCTTCCCATGTTCAAAAAAGTTACCGTCCTGTGGATAATGACAGAGAAATAAAATAAAACAAAATAACCTATACCTGGAGGCAGTACCAAGGGCAGTAAGCCATGCTTGGAATATACCAGCGTAGAAGATGAAGGGGTTCTGGCGGGTGATGACAAAGAAGATAAGGGGCAGCACCATGGCACCATGGATAACCAAGCCCACGATGACAGTCACCATGTACATGCCCAGCTGCCGGGCTACCATCTCCAGGTCTTTGATAGCTGCAATCTTGCCACAGATGAGGGAAGCAATGCCAAATGGGGAGTACCTACAGAAAAGCAAGATGAAGCCATTGAGACTTTTATGAGAGGAAATGAGGAAATAACGTTTTCACTAGTCCAGTTGTAGAGTTGATAGTGAAAGACATTCCTAGGGGTCCTAGGAATTGCCAGAAGATGCTCACTCAGCAGTTTTGATAGCTGATGGCTACATGAAACCCTGGAAGAAATTAAAGCTGAAATGTCACTGGTAAAGGACGCAAGTCCAAAACATTGCTGATGGTGCAAGCTAGCTGCCTTCTTTAGGTGGTGAAGGTGAGGGGAGATGCTCATGCAGCCTTTGGTTTGAAAGGTTTGAGTAGGTTCCAAGAATCAGTGGGCCAGAACTTTATTATAGACCCAGCAAAGTCCCTGCACACCTTGGAAGTATTAGCAGCTCCTTCTGTTGAAAAAGAGCAAGTGGCTGCCTTGGATGGGTGAAGTCCCTTCAAATATCTGAGAATCTTTCACTATTTAGGGCAGTATTCCTTAAACTATTGCCCTCTGGGTGTGCTGGACTATAACTCCCACCATTGCAGTGAGCAGATGTAGGCAGATCTCTTGCTCTGCTCAAGAAAAATAATGTCTGCAATTTCTTATGGCTCCCTCAGACACCCGTCCTGTAACATAGGATTGCACACAGAATTCCAAGGTTCCTCCTCCTCATTTCTATTTTGATTTACAGACTAGAAGTATGTACAGTACATAGTATAATAGCCACAGAGGATATATTTCTTGAAACAACAGGAGACAGAAGCAAACAGGACCCACCCATATATACACAGAAATAGTGTTATAGACAAATCTGTTCCTGATCACAGAAGGAAGGTTGGAGTCAGTAATTTCAAACATATAATTATCACAGGTACCAATAAACCAGTCACGTTAATGAATTGCATCTACGTTACTTTGGTATAATGAGTTAATACCTAGGTATTGTTAAAAACTATTTTAAAGTAGATTGTAATGTGCATTTTGGGAGGAATTTTGAAGGTTTTATGTCATTTTCTTACCAACCCTAAGTGGCAAAGGAGGTATTATTTGGTTTAGTTTTTTTATTTTTATAAATATTTCCAAGCTGCAATATCAAATTTAATCACTAAAAGGAAACAGGGAGCATATCCATGTATTTTTCTGGCCTGTTGGTCATTGTAATATAACAAGTTACTTGTGTGATCGGAACAATAATTATAATGGTAGTTGGCTGGCAAGGAGTGATGAGTAACATGCTGTTTTTATTTTAAAATATTGTGTTTGTGTGTACAGAAAAAAAAACTTGGCCCTTATGATACAAGCTAGAGACAAGACTGGGCGATATCATGGGATATTTTTGTGGCCTAACAAAGGTATTACCCACCTTTAACTTCCGTTCATATGTGGGTGTGGGTGTGTATCTAAAAACACGCAAAATAAATGCTTTTTTATAAAGTAAAAAATACAAAATAAAGAGAAACATTTCAAACAGATAACATTTAAACATTAGGCCATCCCACCCATATTGCGGCAACAGGGTAATCAAAGAGAAAATCTTTCAATCCATTATTTTCTGGTTCTTTCTGCTAATACTACAATAATGGCAAATGCCAAAGAAATGCAAAGGCTATTCTCTATAAGTCATCTTTTTGCATAAAAATGAATTGGTCTACCAAGTAGCTTTAGAAATGAATCTCTGGGTCGCATGTCCCTCTCACCACATGATCATAGAGACCAGCTTCATGATGATCTCATTGAGAATGTTGAAAAAATCAGCCATGGGCTTGGCTTGCTCCCCCATCTTCCCCATGGAAATGCCGAAGGCGATGAAGAAACCAATCAAACCTGTCGTTGGGGGTGAAACAGGAAAAAGGATTCAGAGAAAGAAAGAAAAATCCACTACCTTCAGCCTTGCGGAACTCCCACCTGCTCGTTACAGGATCGGGCGGGGGTAAACGTGGAGGGGATTGCATTTGCCAGAACACTGTATTTTATTCTGCCCATGAAAGAAAACAGGAATAGAGGGGAAATTTATTTTTATATGCAGTGTAACGTATGGGGGAATTTCCAGAGTTTTTATTTGAAATGTTGATGCAATTTTGCTGTGTATTTGAAAATACACTCACCAGTCTCCCCACCCCATCCTGGGCCATACTGATTGCTTCTATAGGAAGAATGTTAAATATACTGAACATGTGTCAAATTCAAAACTAGATTCTTTGCTTCTCTACTGCCTTCCCTTTTCCTCATCTCACACTTGGTGTCCACACACAGCAGAATCAGAGCTTGGAAACATTAGCATTGGTGTTAAAGTGTTAGCATTAATTCAGAAATTAAGTCATAGACATTAATTATTTTAGCTAACAATTAATAATGTGCCCAGAATTTTAAAAATGTGTTAGAAAAATCAATTAAAATCAGCAAACGTAACAAAAAATTGCTAACTTTAAATTACTCTCCACATTAAAAATAGCTGAGTGATCTAGCCATATAAACACAAGTTTTAGGTTGGATAATGCCTTCATTGGATTAACTAAAAAGCTGCATTCAAAAAAGTGAACTTTCTAGTTTTCCAGAATTCATAATCTGACAAAGATGGTAAAACTGAATATAGGCAAACACTCCAAAAACTGGGCCAAACGTAATGCTCATTGTTCTTGGCGTTTGCCTATTCACAATGAAACAGAGTAGTCTAACATTAATTTACATATAGGCAAACACTCCAAAAACTGGGCCAGACGTAATGCCCATTGCTCTTGGAGTTTGCCTATTCACAATGAGACAGAACTTTACTTAAAAATAAAATGAAACAGTGATGTTATGATTATTTTTATTTTAAACTTGTTAATCTTCACAAATAAGCAACTGATTGACTTTAGACAAAAAACTATAAATGGTTTTGATGTTTAACTTGTTCAGTAAGAGAAATCCAGTCTGTCTTGGGTTTGAACAAGTGCTTGAACACCGGATTGGAGTGACGACCGGTGGGCCGGACAGGAGCAGATCGCGGGCCGTATGTGGCCCTCGGGCCGCACTTTGCCCGTGTCTGATTTACAGTCTTGGACTGCTGGACATCTGTTAATTATTAAACAGCTAATTTCTATTTAGTTCTCTAATGCTGAAATATAATCAATTTTTAAGACCACTGTTTCAACAATTACATTCACTATGTAATGAATTAAAAAGTAATGAAATGATTTCTAAGGCCAATATCCTGTTACATTTTGCACAGAAGAAACAGTTGCAGGTATGGCTCCAGCTAATTCACGAGGTCCCAGTTGCACGTTGGTTGCATGCCTGTTTGTGCAGCCAGTCACATGCCCAGCACATGCCTGGCAGCTAATCAGCATCTCGTCAATTAGCTGTGTCTACATCTGCTGTGGCTTCCCTCCCATGCACAGTAAAAAGAAACAGGATACTGGCCTACCAGATTAATTTCAAGCTCTGAGGAGAATGACATACGAATAAGGTACAAGAGTTTTGAAGTGGTAGATACACCATTTCAGACTGTGATGGGAATTCCATCCTTTGGAACGTTCGTTTGAATGAAGACAACACTAAAGAAAGTAGAATACAAATACAGATGACGAACATAAACTTTAAAATATACACTCCCTAACAACAATAAAGTAAATTCTACCACCTCAGGATTCTACCATATTCATTCTGCTGCATAAAGAAGGGAGTCAACCAGGCCAAATTGCATTATAACACAAACTGTTTTTGAAAACTTTTTTTAAACTTAAAAATGATTTCCCATGAGGTGGTTGTCACGGCATGTCAAGTTGTGTATCCATGAAACCTGGCCATGTTCCCCCACTGCTGCCAAGCCCTTCCCCTTTGTTTTCCATCAAAATGTTTCAGGCTCACCCAAAACGTTCATTCCGGCCTTGAACTCCAGCCGTTTCTGGGTAATCGTGCTGGGGCCCACGTTAACTTCCGTGATGGTAGCATTGAGCACCGTCCCATTGACGCGGACTATCTGACTGACATTTTCTTTACGAACCACCACAGGTGGTACAGGCACCTTCGTTGAAACAGTCTGGATCTGTGTGCGAAAGAGGCAGGAGGCTAGGTGGAAGACAGGGCAGTTTGGAAAAGAGCACCCCCTGATATTAAGCCCTCCCTGACTTTCTTCTCCCTGGTGGATGTGGCGTCTGCCGATTTCATTACCTGCTGGAAACAGGCTTGCACCAGGTTTTCAGGGAACAGGTTCCTGACCAAGTCCAAAAAAGCATCCAGGCTGGAGACATCCTCATTTCTGGTTGCCATTGACGAAGTTTTCTTCAGTTTTGGGTTGCCAGGATGGATGGATAGAACCAGTATGACACCCAAGATGGCCGCCGCCACTGTGGTTGACAAATAATACACCATGGCACGAGTGCCCATGCGCCCACTGGATTTGGCATCTAGGCCAGCTAAACCTGCCCACAAAACATATCACAGATGTTACAGGAACACGGAGTTGAAAGCAGAAGTGTGGAGATCGGTGTTTTCGGACGACAGCACCCAAATCTACGTAGACAAAATCCTTTCTTTCTGCTGTTCGTATCAATAAGGCAGCTTTGTTTTTTGGTGTAATCCTGAGCCCACCAATGACTAGAGTCCTGTAGAAAACCATATTTGAGGGGGGACAGGTGGGTGCAGAGCCTTTTATCTCTTGCATAGCTGCACCCAAGTACAAATCTGTAGGGGAATGATGTCTATGGATCAAGAATTCAGGTGGCGGTTTGCTACTTGTCAGGCCCATTGCCAGGGAAAGCCATATATGTAAACAAAGGGCTATCAGAGCGGCCATTTGCCATGGGTCCTCCCAAGCATTTCTTGAAGACAACACCTTTCTTTTTTTGTGTGTGTGCATGCCTGGTATTACCTCCCGCTGCTTTTTCCCCTTTTCCTTCATGTATTTTGGCCTCAGCTAATGAAGAGAAGCCATTTCTATTGCCACTGCTGCCCTCTCACCTGAAATGAGACTAGATATCACGAGAGGCAGGATCAACATTTTCAACATGCGCATCAGGATGTCCCCAGGAAATGAAATCAGCATGATCAGGTCACTGTCAAGGGGTGGAAGCAGCCTCAGCAGCCCCCCAAACACAGATCCCAATATCACACCTGGAATGAAAAAGGGAGGGGGGAAACCATAAGGTCCTTGTTTATTTCAAAAGAAGTTGATATCATATCACAACAATCTCCTGGGCTCAGATGCATCCCACTTTCCATCTCTCAGGCCTAGATGGCACATGAATGTCTTACTAAGAACTTAGTAATGCAATGTACCTAACAGGTGAGTACCTGGTAGCTATAGCTGACTAGGATGCCCATGCAGGGGAAATTCGTGGAATTCCTCGCAGGCAAGTAAATGGGCTGGTTTGCTTTTCAGAATGCCTAATTGTGTTGAACATTGTAGTTGGGTATATGCAGAGGTCCTTCCTATGTGAACCCTTCTATTCAATATGGCAGGTACCCAGTGTGGTATAGTGGATAAAGTGATGGACTAGGACTCTGGAGAGCAGGGTTTGAATCCCCACTTGGCCACTCACTTGGTAAAATCACTCTTTAAATATCTCGCTTACTTTGAAAGCCCTATTGGTTTCGATTTGACAGCAACTAGTTAACTATTCAATATGAGAGAGTCTGGGACCTGAGCAGGGATAGGAGCAGCATGCACTGATATGCCAGAGGCAGGAAGAATATGCATAGTCTTGTTCCTGTCTCCAACTTCTGCTCTCAGATATTTAGAGGAACACTTGAATGGAATCAAATTTCTGTGTTTAGTTTTGGAGCTTATTCCTATTATATACTGAGAAAAATGCAGGATCTTTTTTCCTCCGAAGGGAATAAACATTTACATCCATCCCTCAAGAGTTTTAGCCGTCAACACTGTGAGTCAAAGTGCAGAAGCCATATAGGAGGTTCCTTATTTCACTCTGCTCGCTAACTCAAGCACAGATCTTTTGCCCTGTAAATATCTTGCTTACTTTGAAAGCCCTATTGGTTTCAATTTGACAGCAGCTAGTTAACTATTCAATATGAGAGAGTCTGGGACCTGAGCAGGGATAGGAGCAAAATCCCTCTGCTGCTCCAGACACTGTGTGGGAGGACTACATTCAATCTTTCAGGGTAGGATCATGATATTAATGATTTCTTAAGCCATTTTGTTGAAAAAGGATCTTTTCATGGGATCGGTTTGGGAAACAGTGCCCTATTTGGAGAAAAGCCAGGCTACTGGGGTTCATGCCCCCGAATCCTTTCTGGGAAAATGTCCAGGCATAAATATTGCCAGGGCTCAGGGCAAATTGCAAAGCCAGGGTATATAGTCAATGGAAAGTGTGGCACATAGAAGGGCAAGAAGCAATAATCCTATTCTACTTAGTGTCATAAAGACCCTTTTATAAACCTACCCTTCCTTCCTTCCTTCCTTTTGTGCATTCATACAAAGCAGGTAACTTTTAATGGTTTATTCTGACCAACTTATACATTGAAGGTTTGGGAGGGTGATGTGAAATGCTGATGTCCTTCCTTTGGTCGTCTTGTTGAAGCTGATTAGGAGCTGGCAGCAGCAAGGGGGGCAGTGCTACAGAAGCGAGCTACAGGGATTAGACCATATTTAATTTTCTTTCTCCTAAGCAATGACGTAAGAGAAACGATGAGAGACTAATGAAATCCTGGCCCTTTCCCCTATCAAACCGTGGTTCTGGCAGATCCTGCAAGACTGAATGGCTAGCTTGTTATGGTAGGAATGGGCTTATATCTACATAGCTCATTAGGAAAAGGATGCACTTATGTTCGTCAATAAAAATATAAATAGAATGCATTATTTACGTATGAAATCGAGAAAGAAACAGAGAGAGAGAGAGACACTGCACAGTGAAGTGAATGTAATTCTGTACTTTAAAAAAGCCAGCCCAGCTTCTGTCAAAATAGAGGGGTTCAAGAGCATTTCAGCTGTATTGAAAAAGCATGGCTAGGACACGAAAGGATATCTTAGAGGGAAACCAGACAGGTCGTACACCTTGTGCTGTAATATGATATCAACCAGGTATTTTCAGGTCACTTCGGGGCATACAGACAATTCAAAGCTGGTTTCACACCCCCCTGTCATTTCCCACATATCTTCACATTGCAAAGGAAAAGAGAGCCGATCTTTGTTAAGATGTTTCAGCCATTGATTTATGAGGTGACAATGTGCCTATGAGTAACTGTCTCTATCTCTGTCAGCCAATACGTGTAATACAAAAACTGTGCTTGTTTTCCCCCTCAGATAATGTATACGCAAAGCCATGCTGGTTTTGCCCTAAATCCCATTGGCCTCCTTCTCTGCTTATAAGAAATGTAGTTTCTTCTTTAGGTACTTAATGTCAGCCTCACCCTGAAGAGGTCACCAGAGGTCAGATGCTAAGAATCCAGCTATATTTCAGGGCACTAAAACTGTGAGTGTGCGGGTGGGCATACAAGGTTTCAAGATATGGCTGGATGCCCAGAAATGGGAGATTAGATAAGGGGCCATGGGAAGTTATTGCTGTTTATAGAAGGCAGGAATCCTGCCTTTTTAAAACAACAACAACAGCAACTTAGCCTCATTGACAAAAGATTTATCAGCCCATTCTCTTCTGCAATAATGACCAAGGGAACACAGCAGATTTCAATCCTTTTCAGATGTGAGACTCCATTTCTAACCCTGCCCTACAATGGGATCCAATTTTATGTTTAATTTGTAATGCACGTGCTTGTCTTTCTTCTTTCTCACTACAGATTTAGTATTCCCCCTCCTTTTTATCTAAAACATTTTGGGAGAGAAAGTTCCGAGGATATTCTAGGTTTTAGATAGTTTAATAGAACAGTCCTCAAACATGGATCTTCAGATGTTGGTGGATTTCATCTCTGAGAAGTCCTAAACTAACATGGCTAACATTCAGGAATTCTGGGAAATGTAGAGCAATATTTGGAGTCACAACGCTGAGAAACACTGTCTTAATATCCTCATCAATGAGCTGAGAATGAGATGAAAGAAGTACAGAAGCACTCTCTCTGTTTCCAATGTGGAAGTGTGGGTGTGAAAAACTCTTAAGACAGTTATACTGCAGAATGCGCACTGGGAGTAGGAAAAGAAAACTAGGCGTGAGGAAGGGAGACTGGAATATAGTGAAGTAGCTGGGATCTTGAGCAGCAATAATCCATACTGCAACAGCACCAATCCAGAATGCAACAGGACACTGGTCAGGAGGTTCATCTGAGTGACCTGGCATGGATACCACCCCCACCCCCAATCTCTGCAGTTGTGAAAAGACTGCAAGAATGAATCAAAGTGGCTGGTTGTGTTTAGCCCTGCCGTCTCTAGTTCTATGAATGGAAGGCCTCTCCTCAGCCTCATCAAAGGCACTATTTAAATCTGGAGTTAAGAACAACAACAACAACAAAACCAGATCAGTTAGCAAGCAGACTATGCTAGAAGTGAATCCGAAAAGAAGGCAACAACAATGACCAGCCATGAAGCAAAGCATGCTAAAAGCAAAACTTGAAGGTGAGGAAAATCATGAGCTATCACAAATAGATACCTTCCATCATTTGAGAGAGCACTTCTCCCATATATGTGTGAAAGATATAGTTTATTTTGGCCCTCCAGAGTGGGAGTGGGAAAAATAACACAGATTTCTGTGACACAAGACCCCCTATAGCAGTGTTGGGCAGTGGTCCTGGCTGATATCAAACTTTTGCTGATGGATTTTAAGAAGAGAGAAGGCTAAAGAAGAGAGAAGGCTACTTTAGGCAAGGGGAACAGCCGAGAAAGGGGAGAGGCAGAAGGAAACAAATGAAGACCAAGGGAAGTGTCTTTGCCCAAGCCCAATGCACTTCATCTTACCAATTATTGTGAGAGCAAGCAGCGCATTTCTCATAAGCCAACCACAGTATTTCTCCAGGCAGGGTTTCGGCAGGTCTTCCAAGCTGATGTGGGGGCCATCTGCCATGGGGACCTCCACATGGTTAGTCATCTCCAGGGCCACACCCAATGCCCCTTGTTTTGTCTCAAAGAGAGAGAGAGGAGAAAAAAGGGAGGAAAGGAGTTTATTAAGGTAGAAACAAAGTCATTTCCCCCCCCCCATTTCAAAACAGAGAGATGGCAATGTGTAGAACAGCTGGTAAAGTGTACCCCCAAGCTGTCTCTTTGATCTAGATCTTTTTTATTCTTAAAATAACTATTGTGATGCTGATAATCAATAACAATTGTAAACAAAATTTGAGAGATTCACCAGTTAACTCAGTAAGAAACCTTTAATCGACAGTGTTATTTTTTCAAACTATTTTTTAATTCAACTATTTATACAAACTGCAGACATTAGCATAGGTGAAGATACATCTTGTTTTCCTCACGAAGGAAGGAATGACTCTTCTAAAACGACTCTTACAATTAAGTCTGCCATATAAAACTAAAACATACATACATCTGTTGATAAATCATCAAGTATTTATGTGATTAACTAACAATTTATTTAATTGGGCAAAGTTAATGATGACATTCTGAGCTTTGATATTATGTATTTCAAGTTTTTTTTTTTTAAATTGAGGCATGCATTGTTTCAGAAAATGAATGGGGCTGGCTTCTGGCTGCTGCCTGTAAACCAAATACTGGCTTCTGTCTGGTCCACTTTTGTTGTACCTTTTGCCAGAAAGGGACTTTGGGTATTTTACACACAGTAGAAATGCATAACAGGACTGGATCAAACGAATGCTGGGGCTCTTTGATACTGAGGATATTCATAGCACATTATCAGGTGGGTTTGGAGAGCAAAAAGGGCCAGCTGCCACTGAACACCTTGCTCTGATATAGCTGAAACTGCTAGCACATTATCAGGTGGGTTTGGAGAGCAACATGGTCCAGTAGCAACCAGGGCAGCTGCCACTGAATACCTTGCTCTGATATAGCTGGAACTGTATTGAGGCATTTTATACTGCTGGATGACTGCTTCCTAGTTCCACCCTTCTTTCTTCCAGGTGGGAAGCCTTGAAGGGGCAATTCCCTGGTCCACAGCATGACACTTCATTATGTCACTCCTGCCATATTGACTCCTTAGATCAACATTTCTAAATGCCTTTGAGCTAGTGTCTGGGCCACCGCCAGATGCCCGAGACATGATAGTTAGGGTATAGCACTTGAAAATGTTACCTACTGATTCCCAGATGTCATGCTATTTGAAGGACACATGGAGCTGCAGTCCAAAAGAAAGCTCTGATTTATCATAGGGAATTAATTATGCACTGCAATGCCACATAATTCATCCAACCTCCAGATTCTCTCCCCTGCATGGGAGAGACTAAAATAAGCCCTGCTTCATATATGTGTTGAAAACCTTGTCATTGAGTTTACAAAACAATTACCAGTGCTGCTCATTGTCAAAAAAGGAAGAAATGTGTCATGAAAAAGGACAAAAGAGGATCTAGACTAGTGTAACATTTGCAAATTTGCTGTATATGCATTTAGAGACAATTGTTGTAATTTAATTTTAAATATACTGTACACTAAACATCTGGTATAAGGAGACTATAACCAGAATGCTCCATCCATCATCTGTTCTCCACTGCTTTCTGAAGATCCACCCCCTTCCCTTGATGCACCTAGTATATTTCCAAAATGCACAGAACAGACTACAAGATACTAGATGGGCGGAATGGGGAGAAAACCCATCTTTGGGAATATAATGGAGATTTTCATAATGGAGCTCTTCCGTTCAAAAGGTTCACAGCGGAAGCATAGTTGTTCCTGTCTGGCCAGGAACTAAAGCAAAAAACTAGCAGGGAATACGGGATGTTGTTTCCAAACTAGTCCCTGGCTGATGAAACTTGGATGAACTCTCCTGAGGAGCATGTTAATCAGCTAAAGGATAATCAAATGAGTGCATTGGATTTTGGTAACTCTACATCTGACCGGCTCACAAAAAAAACCTTGTCCTTTTAAGCCAGTGGGTGTTATTTGCCCACTGTTACAGATTTAAACTGATTTAACCGTCCCCCCTCCAGTTGTTATTAAGTTATTGATATGCGAGTCATACCTTCTGCCCAAGCTGTACAGTGGGGTCTTGACTTAAGAACGGCTTGAGTTAAGAACATTTTGACTTAAGAACCGCTCTCATAGGAAAATATTGACTTGACTTACATACTTAGATTTGAGTTAAGAACTGAAAAAAAACCACGTGGGAGGCAGGGAAAGTGCAAATTTTGAACTTTCAGTTAACTGTTGGCCAGTGAAAAGGGTGCCTGTCTGCTTCCTCACTCCTCCCAGCGTTTAGAGAGTGGATTGGGAGATAGTCTTCAGACTGCCTGGTACTGCCTGGACTGTATTTTCCCTGCCTTTCCTGAACCTTTCTTGACCTAAGAAAAAAAAAAGAAACAAAATATCCCCCTCTAGTGGTCGAAGGCAGAATAGCAGCTTCCCATTAGTTTCTATGGACGGAAAAGAGCAGATACGGATCAAATGGTTCTCAATGCATTCCTATGGGAAATGCAGATTTGACCTGAGAACTTTTTGACTTGAGAACTGCCTTCCAATACGGATTAAGTTCTCAAGTCAAGCCCCCACTGTATTCATAATCTCAAACCCCCCTCCCCCCCACTTTCTCTCTGTAAAACATCCTACTGGATTCACACAATTTTCTGGAATGCTGTCTTCCTCCAGACTCGAAAGCAAAATTACCTGCATAAATGTGATGTGCCTAGCATGGAACTTAAGTCACAATCAATAGACTAATGAAAAGCAGGAGGAGGGAGTTTCTATCAGCATGTTCAGGACTGACATGAACTTTCTTTTATTGTAATAAGACATAGTAGTCAGGTTTATAGGATGGGATCCAAATGAAATGCGATGCACAAAGTAATTTACAATATTGTTAATAACATTATTTCTGCATCTCATTTCACTCTGATCCCCGCCCTGTATCCACAACACAAACATTATGCACATAAAGTGAATTTCGAATGTTATGAGTGGGTTATGAGAAAACCCATGCCAAAGCGAACCTGTTAGTCTTCAAGCTGCCATGAGACCCTTGAAAAACTACTGTCAGAGGAAAGAGCCACGACTCCGTGGAATCCCAGTGCAAGCTTCAGACCTTGGGAGACCCATAGCAGCCATTCTCAGGATTGGAAACTATTGGAAACAGTTCACACACCAACGAATAAGGTTTGTTATGTGACTTATGCAATCCTGATCCAGCCTATATCTCTTTCATATTGTGTTTTTGATCACAGCCAAAAATGATTGAGAATGGCTGCCCAAGAGCAAGACAACCTGGAGGTGTGGCTGGCAGGGGACCTTTAACAAAGATCTGGAGAATGCAAACAGAACATTCTCCTTCTTGTGTCCTTTATACAAAACAAAAGTGACAGCGTTTTGGAGAGGGACTACACTGCAATATTTTTCACAGGTTGAAACAGAGACATGCCTGTGTCCCCTGTTCACTTTCCATACGTTTTTACCAATGACAGCATGCTGCACCCCAGCTATCTTCTATCAAGCTCTACCCCAACTTTGCCTAATCTGAAGGCAGCCCTTCAGAGAGGTTCGACTACAATTACTGTATTCATGGCTGCTGACTAGAGGGTTTTTAGTACTGTATAACGTATCTGAAGATGCCCAGTTAGGAGACACTGTTGTACTCTATTATATGCTTTTGGTCAATACATGAGAAAAACTTGCCCTCCTCAGGTACGTATTTGTTCTCTGTTGTTGATGTGTGCTATCAAGTCAGAACCTATTTATAGTGACATCAAGAGGGCTTTCATGGTAAGTGAGATATTTAAGGAGTTATTTTAACAGTTCTACACCCCCAATCAGTTTCCAGGAGAGATATTTAAGGAGTTATTTTACCAGTTCTACACTCCCAATGAGTTTCCAGGACTGCGTGGGGATTCAAACCCAGGGCTCTTGAGTGTCACCCTATTCAGGACAGCACATTGGGTATCCCAACTTTTACTTTGTTGTTGTTGTTGCTATGTGCCATCAAGTCACCTGTGACTTAAGTACTTGGAAACTTTGATCATCTGATGTGTTGCCACAGTTCAAAGCATACCTTACCGCTTGTATCAGAGCTTGGAAATATTTTGCTCTGTAGTCCTGAGCTAGGGGATTATGGGACCTTTAATCCCAAAATTAATGTTTGCAAACTAGCTTGGAAATATTTTGCTCTGTAGTCCTGGGCTAGGGGATAATGGGACCTTTAATCCCAAAATTAATATTTGCAAACTTTGTTCTCACTGGTTCTTAACCTTTGTTACTCAGATGTTTTTGGACTGCAACTCCCAGAAGCCTTCACCATCAGCTCTGCTGGCTGAGGTTCCTGGGAGTTGCAGTTCAAAAACACCTGAGTAACAAAGGTTAAGAACCACTGTTCTAAATTATCTGGGTGTGAAATGCTGCATTTGTGTGTGTCACATGGTGCATTTAATGTCAGTGCGCAGCCATCCATTACCTTCCTTCACACAGAATCTAAGGTAAGAAGAGAAATGTCACTCCAAAAATTGTCTTTTGTAATATTTGCAAAGAATGGGAAAAGTGACAAACAAATTAATCTTGAAGACTGGTATAAAGAAATGTGGAACTTAGCAATCAAAGATGAAGACTGGTATAAAGAAACGTGGAGCTTAGCAATCAAAGATAAGTTAACCAGTGAAATGAAAATAAGAAGGGGAGTGATAAAGTTTAATGATTTCAAAAATGTATAGAATTTATATTTGGAGCATGTCTTTTCTAAAGGGAAAGGTTACAGGCCAGCAGAAGAATCAATGTATTTTTGGAGAGGTATGGGATGAAAAGGGATATAAATTGATATTACTGGTCTCCTAGTCCCAATGGTGAAGGTGGCATGGGTGGAAATAATCCAGTGTGTATTGTATGTAGTTATTATTGTATTTGTATTTTAGTTATGATAAAAACAACAACAAAAAAACAAAAATTGTCTTTCGAAATATAGGCTATTATAGCTATGCTGAAACAGGGTAAAATTCTTTAAAACCAATTCCCTTTTCCTTTTCCTTTCATGATACCAAACCAGCTGAATGAATTTCTTCTCAGTCTGCAAATAGTTCTGAGAAAGGCCTGTGGTTTTTTCCCCCTCTCTGCCTCTTTCAGTGAAAATGTGCAAATTTTTCCAAGGGAAAAATGTCAGTTAACCACATATGAAACCAGTGTTAATTTTTGAGAGGAGTTGGTAGACATGTGAGTATGGGGCTACAAAAACAAATCTGAATTTTGTGGCACCTGAAAATGCTGCCAAGTTTTATTTGGCATAAATTTTCATGGACTGGACCAGATGTGGGCCTGTTTCAACTGATGAAGTGAGCCGCACCCCACACAACCTTACCCCAAATAAAACTTTCAGGTGCTAAGAGACTCTTTGTGAATGTATATTTATGTATACAAATGCACAAAATGTGTATGTTGAATACACACATTTAGAACATATAAACTAATGTAAATGTATACAAAGTGTGTGTGTATATCCACACATTGGATACTAAGTGTGATGTAGTGGATAGCATAAGAGACTCTTTGTGAATGTATATTTATGTATACAAATGCACAAAATGTGTATGTTGAATACACACATTTAGAACATATAAACTAATGAAAATGTATACAAAATGTGTGTGTATATCCACACATTGGATACCAAGTGTGATGTAGTGGATAGCATAATAGACTAGGTAAAGGTAAAGGTAAAGGTTCCCCTTAACAATTTTTGTCCAGTCATGTTCGACTCTAGGGGGCGGTGCTCATCCCCATTTCCAAGCCATAGAGCCAGTGTTTTGTCCGAAGACAATCTTCCGTGGTCACGTGGCCAGTGCGACTTAGACACGGAACACTGTTACCTTCCCACCGAGGTGGTCCCTATTCATCTACTTGCATTTGCATGCTTTCAAACTGCTAGGTTGGCGGGAGCTGAGACAAGCGACGGGAGCTCACTCCGTTGCGTGGATTCGATCTTACGACTGCTGGTCTTCTGACCCTGCAGCACAGGCTTCTGCGGTTAGCCCGCAGCGCCACCACGTCCCTATACGGGACGTGGACTAGAGATGAGGTCAAATCCTTGCTCGGTCATGGAAGCTCACTAGGAGTGTAGAACTGGTATGTGGTATGCTCCTTAAATATCTCAGTTACCTTGAACACCCTATTAAGGTTGCTATAACTTGGTTCCAACTTGAAAGCATATAACAACATATGTAACCTGGATGAGACACTGGAAGCATTTAATTTGAAGTAATTTACATTTTCTATCTCCATCTTTTTAGGTTCTGGGGCTCCTTAGGGCTCCATTTTGCTCTGGGGAAGCCTTTGGGAGCCTTGGGATTGGGAGCCTTTAATAATATAAAAGCACTGCCAGATCACCACGGCAAAAAGTAACCCTATGGAGCGCCAGAACCTAAAAGGAGAGAGTTAGGTAGCTTTTGATTAGTTTAAATCAAATGTTTCTGGGCTATGCCAGTGCAAAGTTATATCAATAGGATTTTACCTATAAAACACAAAATTGCATACATACAAAAAGGAGATATATTCATTTTTGTAGCAAGGAGAATTCAAGCAATCTTAATTTCCCCTACCCTGAATAACAAGCTGAGCCATCAATGTGTGTGTCTGTGTGTGTGTAAAAAATATGTACATGTCTTAATCCAGCTTTACTTACACGCAGAAACAAAAAGACTGTGTGTGTGTGTGTGTGTAAAAAATATTTACATGTCTTAATCCAGCTTTACTTACACACAGAAACAAAAAGATTGGGCTGGGGATAGATATCAGTACAAAATAATGCCAATGTAAAAAAAATATGAATCCAGCTTGTTCAATGGGGCTTGAAAAAACCCTGAAATGCAGATGTACATGGCCGAGAATGATCCTGTTACAGAGATTAAGTGAACAGGAACATTGTTGGTCCACACACATTTATCCTCTTTCAGTGAGCTTAATAGTCTCCTGATTTGTTTGAGAGCTCAGATAAGTTACTTTCTGAGTAACTTTTTTATTTTTTTAAATAACTTTGCTCATTTATTTTTTTCTTTATCAACCAGCACCTGGTTCCATCCATAGAATCTCCTAATCCAGATTGACTGGCAGGAGGTGGAATTTCTTGATGGTTGTAAATAAAAATAAAGACAGGAAAGAGACCCTCTCCCCACCTCTTAGGTTCTTAGTTAAGTCACAGATTCTTTCTTGACAAGGGTACAGCTGAGAATTCCTTAAAAAGCAGTTTCTTTTTAAAGAATGAGTCAGATTTGGATCAAAACAGATTTGGATCAAATCAGGGAAAATCCAGATATTAAATGTTCCCATCCAGCAAACCAATTCAGGTTGAGAGGCAGTACTTTCCAGAACTGAAACCCCATCCCATTCCCCTGCCTTTCTAGAAAACTTGGCTTTGGAAACAAAAGTATGAAATATTATCTTGCCTTTGGCTTGTCTTTGTTTAGTGCATGTTTTTCTGTGTTACAGGAATTATCATCAGGCTGTTTGACAGAATTATCTCACAGAATACAGTACTAAAGATTGTGTAACCTTACAGCATATTAGCCCAATTAAAAAAAGACATCATTTAATCTGATTTTGAGACCACAGCAGTTTATAAACACAGCAATCTCTAAACACAGGAGAGAGTCATGGTTATCCACTCTCATCCAGAATCTACAGAAATACATATCATATTTAATTTCTCTCTTAGCCTCCAGTCCTAAATGATAGCCAATACCCCTGAAGGAAGAAGGGAGAGAGGTAGTGAATGAGAGAAGTAGACAGAGACACCCCTTCCATTTTATGGAACTGAAATTTCTCAAGACTTCCTCTGTTTCTAAGCTGGACTATGTCTTCCAGCTAAAAGAAAACCATAATCATTCACCTGTAACTGCAGACATTAACATGAAGAAACAAAGCAGGAAAAACTGTTCTCTCTGTGTGAGGTAAATTACTAAATTTCGGTGTTTAAATGCAGGTGCAGAAATACTTTAAGAACGTATATCAGGCAAAATCCAAAGAAACCAAACCACAAAAACATGGGGCACCTTAAAGATTAAATATTATATTTTACTGTGAGCTTTCCTGGACAAGTCCGCTTCGTCAGACACATTGAAACAAAATCAAATCAAGAAAGTAGTAACTTTGCTGCTGAGAGTCATTGCTCTTTAGCAACTGGTTAATGGATGCAGACAGATAAGAGATAGACGGACACGCACAATGTATAAAACGGTGAATGACATGACAGCTCCATACCTCTGTACTCCACCCCAGCTTCCTAGAATTACTGGCGCTCGGCCCTGCACAAACCACCCGTTTTCCAGTGCTCCCCGGAACATTCTCGTCCTATAAGGGAGGCAGCACCCTCTAGAGGGGAACTTTCCCCATAATCCCACCACCACCACCTCGCTCCCCCATCTCTGAAAGAGCTCTGCCCTCATAAAGCCTGGGCAACTGCGTGCTGCCCAACACAACCCTTCACACCTGATGCACACAACACTCCCTATCCCCTGCCCCATGGTTCCCCATCCCATCCATCACTCCTTACCCCAAGTTGGGAGGGGGGGACAGTGCGTCTCGACAGGAGGCAAAGGGGGATCTGAAGATGCCGGGTGGACACGGGGGAGACTCCGGCAGCTTAGCATCCCCGTCACTCGACGACGTCAAAGAACAAGTGCAGTTGTTGGGGGGGGGCACGCAGGAGGTAAAGAAAGATTACAGACCAGAAAAAAGGAGCAGAGAGATGCAATAGGCAGATGAACACGGAGCTAATGCCCTAACTGGGGACAGAGCAGACAGCTGTTTAATCAGCAGGCTTTTTTTTTTTTTAAAAGGGGGGCACAGGATGAGAGAACGAAATGAGAGGAATAAAGTTCAGGGAGTCATCAAAAGTGACAGTTTGGAGACAGCATCCACAATGATGAAGGATTTCTTTATGACATGCAGAAAGACTCGCCTGGCCTGTCTGCAGGTTTCTTGGGGCAAATCTTTTAGCGAAGGCCATCTGTTCAGAGAGACATATTACCATCCAGATCACTGACCTTTGGCGTCTTGCTCACCTCTAAATGCCACGTGTGTAAAAAGAATGAAAACAAAAAACAAGCACAGGAGGTGGAGCGGTTGCCCCCCAATAATAAACAGCTGCCGATGATAAGCATGCAGGGGTTCCACCCACAAGAAAAGAAGATAGTGTGATTGACATAAAAAGAGATAGACTTTATAGAGTGACAGAGTTGTAGGCTAAATGGAAAGGTAAATAATTTCCAGCTGAAAGAATATATGAAATACTAGTCTGATCATGATATTTTAAGTAAAGATGCTCTGGGAAGCAGTGCACCTGACATTTTTACCCAACATCTTCTCCAAGGGTTCAGAAAGCTTCATGTGGTTTTCTCCAATCTGTTATCTTCATCCTATAAGCAACGTAGGCAAAAAGAGTGACCAGCCCAGCAAACTTTATGGCCGAGTAAGAATATGAATTGTATCAATGGTGTCATCTGATGCTTCTAGATTACCCAATATGGATTCATGTCACAGATAACCCATGTCAGGATCTTGCCTGTGGTGTTGACCCATACATGCATGCAGCGGCCCTTGTTATTTTAAACAACATACAGTATAGTAATAATTTTGGATCCCTCTCGCATAAGTTAAGGTCAACCTCCGTGCCATCCTCTCCAAAAGTGAATGGAAGCGAAGGCCTGAGCAAGTGGACCTCACCCCAAAGTGGCAA